ACTTTGATCGAAATACTAATCAAACTCGTACCAAAAGATTTAATACAAAATTATTCTTTTTTTAAATTGTGTATTTTATATGTTTTTGTCAGAAAATAAAATCAAATAAATTGTTACTTGCCGTACACAGAAATTAATGTTTTTTCATCAATATAAATAAGTTATACTTATATAGTATAGTATAGTTCATGTTAGAGAATATAAAGTTTATTACGAGTCTTGTATTATATAATTTTTTTTTTTGTTAAATATAAAAAACAATTGAATTATGGAAGGTTGAAGATAGAAAAATATAGTGTCAAATAAATAAAATGTAGTATATCGCATATACAAGTAGGCAACACATAAAATAAAAACTCTTTATATGAAGTATCATTGACAAGAAGCAATTTCATAAGTCTGTAAGTATCTTTCATGATGGTATATTTCTTTATGGTTTCATTACTTACTCCATGACAGACTCAACGAACAAAGAAAGTTATTACAAAAAGATGAGCTCGTTTGATGTTTTCATTGTAAGTGTTAATATATAGAAAAAATGTGTATGCACGTGTGCGCATGTGTTTTTCTCTTATATACGTTGATGAAAATTAATCGATTTTTTGTTTTTATATACAAAGCGGCACGATCAAAGAATTCTAACGGGGACAAGGCAACAAGGATGGAATAAACTTTCTAGTTTTTCTATTTTTCCTTGCTTCATTGTTAATAGAATTTTATTTAGAAATTAGAAACGTCAAGAAAGAGCGAGAAAAAGCGAGAAAGAGCGAAAGGGATAATATTTCGATATATGTATTTGAACGAACAAGCCAATTAATATCAAGCACCACCATCATTATTCATCAATAACACAAACAACAATAATAATAATAACAACGACAATAAAAATACCAAAGAAGAAAATAGGAGGCCTAATGAGCGTGAATAATTGCATGATTTTGGTGTATAAATCGGAACTCAACGAACTGTAACGACGATAATGATTTCGTTCACAATCAGTTAATGAAAAAAAATGGCGATAGTGGTAGCCAAAGAGGTGTTCGGGGGGTTCTCTACAAACATTCCAATCATTCCTTTTTCTTTTCTTCAAATTCTTCATTTTTTTTCTATTTTATTTTGTAGGACAATAAGATAATAAAAATCTAATAATGATAATAATAATAAGTTTTCTATCGAGTCTTCTTTTGAAAAAGGGTTTAGTGATGATTATGTTGTATTTCGAGATGTAGAATATGAAATTGTGTGAATTCTTATATGCACGATGAACAAAGATTGTGGATATTAGAGAATTCTTGAGAAAAATAACGAGAGAGAGGTAGAGAGAGGTAGAGAGAGAGAGAGATTGGTAGGAAAATATTTACATCTAGGTACAGTTGATAAAAAGTGATAGAGAAAATATTTATTTGTTGAAATTAGAACAATGAACTGTATTTTTCAAATTGTTAATAAAAATAATGTGATATCTCGGATATCAATATTTGTTTGTACGTTATGCGTATTTGATAAGAATACGATAGAGGTAAAATACGTCAACGTTGGATTAGATATGTGGATATGTGCTTAAAATAAACACGTTTCAAGAAAAACGTGAAAAAGGGTAAAAAACCATGTGATGTTGACTCTACAGAGGTAATAAAAAAATGTGACCTTTTTGATAATAGGTATTGAATAAGTGTGAGAGAAGTTTCTTGATGCATAGAGTTTGAAGTAAATCACGTTAGTGGTTCGGAGATAGTTTCAAGATACGGATAAGCGTGCAGTTGTCGTCGTAGCAGTTGCAGCCTCGAGCTTAGAGAAAGGCAATATCATCATATGTATGTCGTCGTTTGTATGTATGTATGTATGTATTTGTGTGCATGTATTATGTGTGACGAATATGTATTCCCCTGGTTCGCCTGATGTGATTGGGAAATAATCGAACAGTAAATGACACGAGAACGTGTGGGATTATACGAGCACCGCCCTCTCCTTTCTTGTAATCTAATACCACGCATCCGTTTTTCTCGACTTTACGTACGTGGACGATTTTTATATTGCTGAAGGAAGTTGTATGTAACATTGTGAGATGAACAAGTAGGACGATTCCATTTTTTCTTTTCTCGATTTGCTTTCTTATTTTGTATTTTATCATGTGGTATCTTTCGAAAAATTGCTATTTTCTTCGAATTTGTTTTTTTTTTTTATATTATGCAAGAAAATGAATATAATTTAGAACGGAAATGGTTGTGAAGTCATCGAAAATGTAAGTTTTATGAGAACCGACAGCATCCTCGTTCTCAGCTATGACTAATTCAACCTGAATATTGAATATAATTTCTTCTTAACCAACCGGATATTTTCATTCGTAGTTTCCTATTTTTACATTCGATTGAGACGCTCAAAGATATAAAAGGAAGAAAGAAACAATTCGATTTGTAATTTTTCCAAATTGTGTTGTTTTAAAGAAAGGAAGAGAATAATTACCGATTTTAATGTAATTTTCTTTTCTAAAGCAACAAGAAATAAAAAAAGATCAAATTTCCCAGAAATAAATGAAGAAAACTCTAACAACTGATTACTATAATTAGGTTATAACTTTTCTATAAATTAATTAGATGAAAAAATTCAAATGGTTAGTCAAACAAGCAGATATTTTTGACGCTATAATATAATTAGTTCTAAGAATAATATTAAACCAAGTTTATGAACGTTCTCAATGTCCTAGTCATCTTTAGTGATCTTTTTCTTTCGGTGTTCTAACTAACCCCCTCGAACAGATTTCACTTGTGGTCGCATAAAAATATTACGCTACGATTCGTAGAGAAAGTATACTACTCCTAAGGCGATATAAACTCGGTTCTAGATCGTAAATAAGATTCTAAATCGGGGATTTGTTTTTGACGATATGATCGACAAATACGTGATAATATTAATGAAACCTGAGTTTGTCGATCAACTGTAAGAATAATTGTCCAATTTATTTTGTTCAAATATTGCTATTTTTATTGTATTCAATTTGTTTATTTTTATTTTTAAAAAGATTCTAAAACACCACAATGAATAATATTATCAATAATAACTGAACTAGTGAAACCTAATAATTGAATTAAAGAAAATTTAATTATTAAGCCTAATAATGATTTACATTAGGGGAGTTGAAATAATAAATAATTAATATTACACATTTTTTTATATTATCTCTAAATTCTAATATACGAAATATAATATGCGCCACGCTTCGTGAATATTTGTTTTAAAGCAAACAAAATTAACTCGTTTGATAAATATTCATTCAAATTATGAATAACTTTATACAATAATAAGATAAAAATGCTTTGGATAAATATTCGTAGAGGAGGGGTGAGTTGAGCATAAACCAAAAATTGTGAGATAAATATAAGTAAAGTAATGATAAGACATTGTAAAAAACTKTGTAAGTTGTGCAAAAAAAAACCTGATTATATATATATATAAGATAAAAATGCTTGAGTTTATTTTTGAAAGTAATTATTGCAGATAGAAAAATTGATCAAAGTTTATAACTCTCAATTAGAACAATAGGAAGATCTACAAAAAAGAAATAGGGAAATCATTTTAAATTCAAGTTAAAACTCCCCCTTGTGTGCTGTTTTAGATTTCTCGAAGTGACAGTAATCTTGGCCGAGTATCTAACGTTCCTATGCATAATCGGGAAAGCGAATTCAGTACCGTAGTAAACGAGTTTCTAATGTGAATACAAAATGCGTATTTCGTGAGTCGAAATTCTAAAACGACTACGAGATCGTGGAAAGTAGCAAAAAGATCGTATTTTAAGACTTTGTTCGCTTAATATTATATTTAATGTTTCGTTAAAAAAAATTTACTTTAACTATATATTAGATTTTAGATTTAACAAGTTAGAATTTAGATCAAAATAATCGTCACGGGATGTTGACAAATTTCATTTCGTACAATTTATGATCGAACAAACACATATGTACACTATTAATCATGCAATGATTTAAAAAAAAAAAACAAAAGAAGGTGACTAAAGACACTAGAGAAGGGAAATAGAGCGAGGGAATAGTATTCGAGAAAGTAATAGACTGACGTAAGTTACATGGGATAAGTGCAAGTGTATTGTACGTTACATATACATGTCCTGTTGAAAAATAAAATCTAAAGATACGTTCAATGTGTGTAATGAAAAACTTAATACGTAAGTACTTATGCAGGATATATGTGTGTGTTTTTTAAGAAAAGAGAAAGGTCGATTTATTTGGTTTAAAACGGTAAATCGATGTGAGTATGTGTTTAAACGATAGCATTATCAATTTAATATTGTAGACGAATATTGAAAGTTTATAGAAACAGAAGATTAGGCACTACGATATTTAAAATATGCAAAGATGTATTGTGTTGGCCTATAAGAATTCTCACAATTTTGGAACATTTTTTACGTATATTAAAATGTAATCATTGGATAAGTCAATATATTGTTATTATTTGTTTTTCGTCAGAAAATTAATCTTTAGTTGATATTTGAAGTTGAATCTAGAGGTACCTATATATAGTTATGCTAATATAATTTATAATATATAAAGTTTCACTTTCAGACACGAGAAATTCATTTTTGTGATTCATACATATAATTATATTAATAGAAATGATGTTAATATTACAATGTTATATTTCAAATTTCAATATAAAAATTTGTCTTGTTGAACAGGTAAAAATTCTTTCCAAAAAATATTTCTCATAATATATAAATATATATATATATATATATATATATTTTTTTTTGGATGTTTTTCAACACACTTGAAACAGTAGAGAGAGGAAAGAATTGTTCACATAAAAATTGCACAAGCTTGACAAAAATCACACGCGAGAATTTCTTTGTCACACGCGTGAAAAAGCGAGCGAGAGGGGGTTAGAGAGAAAGAAGATTAGCGTGCGGAAGGATCAAGGATATTGATATCACTTTGCAGAGGTTCGTCCTTGATGCAGGAGGAAAGCGTGACGTAGCTCGGAGCACTCACCTGCGATGATAAACAAGAGCCACATGGTGAGTAAATGAGTGACGAAGCGGCGAGCGAATGTTCGGTGGAAGTGGGTTTCTCGTAGCTTTATAGACCGAGGGGAAAGGCCGCGCCCGGAACAGCCAACCAGGTGGGGTTGTTAACCACTTTTACACGATCCTCTCGTCTCGCTTCTATTTAACTTTGTTGCAGGATACATGGAAACCAGATTACAATGGAATAACTTCATGACGATATCTCCTCTCTTCTTCTTTTATTATTACAATACTAATCTGAATAAACTTTTTTCGATATTTTATAATAACAAAATCTGACTATGACTCTAAAATGATAAAGTTTATTTATCCAAATTATGCTATTTCTATTGTTTAAATTCCTAATGAATTTGTGATTAAATTTCACATTGGTCAAAATGAAAATTAACTAACCTGCCATTTTCTCTTCCTCAGATATTTCTTTGTATAAACCGTTTGATTTTACACAGGAGATAAAAAGATATTTGACGATCTTAAAGTTAACAGATTTCAACGAGAATTCTATGCGTACTAATAAACTGTTTTACCATGGAAACCGCAAGATTCGTTTTCTCGTATGTGATTACTCGAAGAAAATTCATCCTATCTTCGAAATCATTTTATAATTTGATTTAACAAATATATTCAGATTTTATACTAATTCCGTGTAAGGTCATTGACTCTACGTTTTCGATTTGGATTAACTAAGTGCAAGTTCAAACTATTTTTCGAAAGTAGACTTTCTATTTCACAATAACTGAAATGATAATTATCAAACAATACGTTCCTTTTATTAGATTAATTAAGAATAATGAATAATATTTATTTTTTTTCAAACCTGTTCAATTAACAAAAATGACAAAGAAAGATGGCTGTCGGGTTTTGGAAATGATTTCTTTAAGATTTTAATTCTTTTTGTTCTTAAACGTATCGTATTATTTGTTACATTGTAAAACAATGTTGTATGCTATAGTGTACTTGCAATGACAATTATTAGAGAATTAAATAAAAAATAATAATAAACAGATACCCATCTTTTTCAAAAATTTGTTAAACAGATGAACGGGATCAAAAATGATGATAGGTTTATTTCAAAAAGTTGACAATAAATTAAATGATTAGTCGATCACATATATGTATATATATATACACACGTGTATATTTTAAACTAAATCTATGCATAATTATATGTAGTTTGGAATGATATATATTTGAAAATGTAGACAAAAATGTTCTTAATTAATAGTAAGATGAGAACTTGCGACTATGATAACTGCAATAGTTTGAGTGGTTGGAATAATTGAAGTAGTTGGATCGAAAGTTAAGCATTGAGATTGAAATTGGTTGTGTGTTCCGTCTCGTGTCGTTGTAGAAATAGTAATATTACGTTGAGGTCAACGCAGTAAACGGTGAATGTATGGAAATTTAGGGCAAACTACCGAGTCACACGGTACTTGGTCCACCACAAAGAAACTCGATTTGAGAGGTCAAGCATAATGACAAGGAGACGAGATCAAGAATAGGAAATCTGACCGAAGTGCGAAACACATTTCGTTGTTAGCGGCTAATGTCTTGAAGAAGATTTTGCAAAAGAACACTGTACCTTTATATTTGTTATTAGGTATGCCCGAAACAGCTTGTGGGTTAGAGTTTTTCGTGAACTATACTTAACACTATATTGCTCTTACTGTTAGGAAATTTACCTACTTATTTATACATATAGCCCAGTCAATAAGAGGTGAAGGAAAAACTTTCAGGTAGAAGTTCTCGACAGTTTGATACAAAGGTAATTCGACGTCGCTGAATCGAATGG